AGAAGGTCCTCGTGGAATGTGCTCACTTCCCAGTATCCGCCGTCTGCACCCTCATACCACGCTGCTCTAGGAGACAGGGACATAGCACCAGACATGCACACACCTCTGGAAGCAGGTGGCATGGTGTTTAAGAGCCCAGTGACTTGGGTTCAAATCCCAGCTCTGCCACTTATGCAGGCTACGTCTCTAAGCCCTCGTTTCCTCACCTGAACGTGGTCCTGGGAGCCCGAGTGGCGCAGTGGATGAGCACTCAGCTCCTGACCGAGACGTCCGCAGAGCCACCAGCTTCTCTGTGGGGGGAGGATGTGTCATCTGCTTCCGTGACGACCTTTGGAAATCCTCCGGGGAAGTTCTCGCCCGTCCTTCAGGGAATTGCCTCAGCAGCAGTGGGTTTGGTTTGGGCTTTTAATGGGGTCCTAATGAGAGTCCCTAACCTCATAAAACTGTTGTGAGGATTAAGTGTGATAATGTGTGTGAAGCTCTTGCCAACCTGCTGGCACCATGCGGATCACAGCTGATTTTTTTGTAGACATGGAGACGGAGAGAGGAACTTGTCACAGGGCGTCTGGAGCCCTGAGGACAGAGGTACCCCTCTCAGTGTCCTCCAACTTCCACATGGCCAGGGACCACCGGCCCTGCCGCCCGTTCTCACGGTCACACCCTGCTCCCTATCTCTTTCCAGAAGGGCTCCACCTCTGAGCCCTAAAATCCCACACCCCGCCCCCTGACCACTGCTTCCCATGCTTCCAGGCCTGTGGGTGTCTCCGCCATACCTGTTTGTCCACCTCGAGGCCACCTTGACCCTCCTGAGGCAGCCTCTCCACAGACCCCTTCTGTCTTCCCAACCTGCACCTTACAGTCCACTCCTTTATCCTGTTGGCAGTAGATGGCGCTATTGAGTCCATCCCAGCTCCCAGCGACCCCCTGTGCAGAGAACTGTGCTCCGTAGTTTAAGGCTCTGACCTTTCAGAAGCAGATTGCTGGGTTCCAAGGGGCCTCTGAGTGGGTTCAAGCCACCAGCCTTTTGGCTGCTAGTTGAGCACTTAAAACATACGCACCACTCAGCTGCCTTTATCTGAACTTGAGCTCCCTAGGAGCTCTG